CAAGTACAGTGTAGTTTTGTATATTTGATATTGTACTTCCTTTTTCTTTGTTGAGTACATAACATATTGACACGACCTGAACTGTGATTCCCACGTTATCTGAATTCAACGGTGAGCTACTTTCTCTGGGCTGCAGCGAATTCATCTCTATTTCTTAGTCTATCTGTTCTGGCATAGACTCTTTAGTTCTTACATTTTGGGATTACATCCCCGTATTCTAGACTATGTAAAATTTTGGTACACGACTTTCAAGTTCTACGATGTTCTCAAAGATATGATAACGGCTTTTGAGTATACAAACTTGTTCAATTTATGAATACTACTTACCTTTTGTTGTTTAGTTTATTGATTGTTTAGCGGGTTTATTTGTTCTTCCATCGGGGGTTTAATGTGGGTCTCACTCATGACGGGTCGGGGTCGTGACAATTTTCCTTTTGTTTTCTTTCTCTATTTTTAGATTCATATTAGTTGTGTTTGTTTGTCATGACTTTTCACCGAACATATATATTATAAATTAAAATGATAATACAAATATAAAGGTATTTCTAATAGTTTTAGAACTTACGGGTATAATCATAATATTTCCTTAAAAAGTCAAATATTTTTCCAAGAATTATGACCAAATTCTAGCTTAATATAGTATAGATATAAATAAATAGATTATGATGATATGAAAATCTTTGACCAAACACTAGCTTAATATAGTATAGATATAAATAGACATATATAGATATATTATGATGATATTTTAAATCTATGACCAAATGCTAGCTTAATATAACTTTTCAACTGTGTCGTCAAACTCCCAAAATCTTTTCTTGGCTTTCAACAACTTACAATGCTTTTTCTGGAAAATGTAACTTTTGTGTCAAATACAGAAATTTGTGTTATTAATGTCCCCTTTCTTGTCAGTTTAACCTTATTGAAGTGTAATGGTACTCAATACCTCAACTTGTTTTACAATGAGAGCCGATGCAATCTTGACCTAAGTTGCTTTATGAAGTGCAAACAATTGAATTATCTCAAGGTTGAAAGATTAACTTTGGAAAAGCTTCTTCTTAGTTTGACTACACTTGAGGTACTTTTGTTGAGTTCATTTGAACTTGAGGTAAGAACCTGACATACATGAATTATTTTACTTCCCGTCTTAATGGGTGGGATTTGTTTCTTATTCTTGAATTTGCTCCAAAGTTTTTGAGTTCAGGTGAAGTTCCAAAGGTCATCCCTTTTACGCTCAACAGCTTGTATCATCTACATTTAGGTGTAAACTTCACTCAAATCGGCCAGACTTATTATGCATTCGAGTTGATTAAGAGTTGCCCTAATTTGAGTAAACTTGAGATTTGGGTAAGAAATGATATAAATGTATGATATGTTTCGTTTTTTCACTTCATATATTAAAACATGAGAAGCTAAAGTACTAACGTGTGGTATTTATTTGATATCGATCGTTAGGTTAATAATTCCTCTGATCATACTCTTGAAGATGTTTATAAATATATAGACGCACCAGCTTTCTTGGATCAACCGTTCAACAAGCTCAAAGATGTTACTGTGCATTATTTTAAGGGTTCAAAAACAGAATTGTTTTTCATTAAGCTATTGCTTGCTTGTACTCCATCTTTGGTCAGGATGAGTATTGTCCCGGTTGGTTCTTTTGGAAGATTGGAATATTTGCATAGACTTGATGCGGTTCCCTAGATTAGAATTTTAAGCTACAAATGCAGGATGCAGTATGTTTTCAGTATGTTCCCTTAATTATTTTGATAAACTTTGTTGTTAAATAGATGTTTTGAAAGTTCAGTCTTTAATAATGTGTCTGATAAGACTAGCAATCCCTTTGCTTATGTCTTCCATACTTCTTTTGTTATTTTTTTTATGAGTGGAAACAAATGCAAGGAACAGAAACTGCACTTTTGAGGACTTGTGTTGGGAAAAAAAAATACTACACTTGTTTATTCATACTTGTTAACTGTCCTAATACAAAGGGTAGTACAAGTCCATTTGTTTTCTAAATTTCAAAAGGAAATATTTTCATTCTCCCGTCCTGTTAGTCAAACAAGTAGTTAAAATTTTGTCTCAGGTTGTTTTCTCCCTACCGGAACTCTTATAAAGCTCTTGTGTCTTGTTAGGTGGGAAAGGTTGCATCTAGTACCGGACTGATGATTTGGACAACTGTCACGATCCAAGATGGCACCTAGGCGTAACATGGCGTATAGGACCCCGAGAGGCTCCACACAAGCCACTTAGCGTTCATCATACAAGAAAATAGAACAAAAAGATTAAAAGACAGTTTCAACATATATTGTATAATTTCATTCAGTCATTCGTTTGAAGCTCATTCTCTGCATTATAAATGATATTCAACTACAAACCCCAGAGATATTAGAGAGAATACCTTCAACTCATATCCTTCTATCAGTGGTGAAGTCAATATTTTCACAAGGAGTTCAAAAAGTGAAGATTTTTCATATATGAATAATATAATTTTCCCTCTATCAGTGGTGAAAAACCATATATGAATAATATAATTTTCCAGCAAAAATGTTCAAATGAACCCCCTCAGCCTACCTATTCCACTCCTCCCTCTACATAATTTATATTGAGAGGCGCACAAGGGTGTTTAGGTATGATTGAATTTTACATACGTTATAAGTTATAACAAGTTAAATATGGTATTAAATAGTCTAGGGAGGTAATAGGTCCTTATGAAAGTTTAGTATCGCAATAGCAAATCCGACCAAAGTTGGGGTATTTTTCAGACCCTTATCCCTTAAAAAAAGATTTATTATTCTATGTTGCTTTACGTTATTAATCAACATAAAAAAGTTAATATATAGAATCAATTTCATGATTGCTTATGTCTTGCATGCAAAACTATTTCTAATGTTGTCCAAATATTGTTATAGTATGGTCGTTTGGTTTATAATTAAGTTATGCAAAACTAGTAACGATTATATTTATACGTTAATTACTTAAAAAAATATTATACTCAATCCGTTATATTATATTATATTCGGTATTGTTTCATTTCACTCTATTAATAAAAGGCTAACATATTGAATCGATTTCATGCTTATTTTAGCTTTGTAACACTAATGTCAAATGTTGTCCCAAGGTAGCCATTAATAATAATATGGTCATTTGGGTTATAAGTAAGTTACGTGAAACTTAGTTATGTTATTATAAACGTTAAATAGTAGTGTGATTATTTTAGAGCAAATGACATAAATGGTCCCTAAACTATCCTAGTAGGTTTAAAATAGTCCTTTAACTATACAGTTGACGGATATGGTCCTTTAACTATTCACCTTTTTGTCAAGTTTGGTTTCCATCCACTTTTTATAAAAACCGTCAACAAACGTCGTTCAATACACTCTCTCTCTCAATTTTCTTTTTCCCTCCTCTTTTCTTCATTGTGAGACGCTAAGTCAAGAAAACCCTAGATTCATTTCAGATTTGGCCATTAGTGAAAGCTCAAGACAATGATTCTACGACCAGAAGGTGGTACAACTCCTCCGTATGGTAAGTTTTCTAGAGTTCAAGTTTTTATTTGTGAGAGATTTTGTTGTAAAAAAGAAAATATCAATTTTTTTAAAAAATTATTTTCGTTTATAGATTATATACACGATGCCTTAAAGATCAGCATGAAAGTAACCCACGGTGGTTTTATGAAGCACCAGCCTAAAAAACATTATTTTGGGGGTCGTGTCCAGTTCATTGACCATGTTGATGTTTCAGAAATAAAGTTATCTCAATTCAAGAATTTGGCTGAGATATGTGGATATGATAATGAGTCAGTCGCATTTTGGCACAAATATGGTAGACTCGGTGAAAAAATGAGGCATGTTTCAACTGATTTTGAAGCTAATTTAGTATTCAGAAACATCCCTCGAAATAGAGTAATTGAGGTTTACTTTGAACATTTAGATTCCTATATTGGAATGGATATCAGCAACAATGTTGAACAAAATAGAAAAGAGGGAAGGGCTGAATATTCTTCAAGTGATGATGATTTTGAAGACTCGGATAATGATTTGTCAGATGAACATGATATTTTAGAAAGGAGTGAAAATGGGACACGTGAATATGAAGTTAGCGAAGCAGTGAGAAAAAAGATGGCTCATGAAGATGGAGATTCTGATTGTGTTAACTCTGAAGGGTTCAAGAGCCTAGAAAGTGATTCTAATTCAGATGGTATGAACTTAACTGTGTTCAACCCAAATACAGATGGGTTGTATCCTATCCTGGCACTTGAATTGATATTTAAAAGTAAAAAAGAGTTCAAGAATGTTGTGATAACTCATGAAGTCGGTCAAGGAAAGTATATAAAATGGTGCAAGAATGATAAGGAAAGGATACGAGCAGTTTGTGCAAAGCATCCAGATTGTGATTGGGAGATTATGGCTTCTAAAATGTATAGAGATTGTGTTTTTCAAATAAAGACATACAATCCGACCCACAAGTGCAAAAATTGGAACCGTGTTAACAAAACCATCACATCTTTGTTCATTGCTAGAAAATATCTTGATGCCATCAAAACAAACAGGAATTGGAAGATCTCTGAATTTAGAGATCACGTTAGTATTCAGTTAAGAGCACATGTGACATTATCTAAATGTAGAAGGGCAAAAAAGAAGGCAATTGCAATGATTGATGGAGATATCTCTGATCAATTCAAGCTATTGTGGAACTATTGCAATGAAATAGTGAGGACAAATCCAAATACTTTTGTTTATATGAAGTTGGTTGAAAATGAATAATCCTGCAAACCTGAAAGATTTCAGAGATTCTACATTTGTTTTAGTGCTTTCAAGGAAGGATTCAAGAGTGGTTGTAGAAAGATAGTAGGAGTGGATGGTTGTTGGCTCAAGGGTCCGATGTATGGGACTCAATTGTTAACTGTTGTTGGGCTTGATTCTTATAACAATATCTATCCGATAGTATATGCAGTTGTGGAGAAAGAAAATCGTGAGTCATGGGCATGGTTTTTGGATCATCTAAAGCTTGACTTGGAGATCGATGATGGAGCTCACTAGACCTTCATGTCAGATAAGCAAAAAGGTCTGATAGAAGCATTTAATGATATATTACCTTTGGTCGCTCATAGATTTTGTGTTAGACACTTGCATAGTAATTTCAAAAGGGCCGGATTTTGTGGTGACACACTAAGAAATGCACTTTGGAAAGTTGCTAGTGCGACAACAGTAAGGTGGTTTGATGAACGCATGGTTGAAATATTTGATTTGGATCCCGAAGCTGATATTTGATTGAGAGATAAGTCACCTAGTGAATGGCCTAAATCTCACTTCTCCGAAGATGCAAAATGTGATACCTTAGTGAATAACATATGTGAATGTTTTAATAGCATGATATTGGATGCAAGAGATAAGCCTATTATCACTCTTCTGGAGAAAATTCGGTATATGCTCATGACAAGAATGCAAGCAAATAGGGATAAATCTATCAAGTGGAGTTCTGATGATATTTGCCCCAGAATTAAAAATGTATTGTGCAAAAGTCAAGTTGTTGCTGCTGAATATATTCCTAGAAAATCAAATGAGTGGAACTATGAGCTTATAGGAGCTAGCATAACTGACATTTGGGCCGTAGATTTGTTAAACCGAAAATGCAGTTGTAGAAAATGGAATTTGACAGGGCTACCTTGTAAACATGCTATATCAGCAATTTGGGCTAAAAATGATGAAATCAGTTCGTATATTGATGATTGTTATAAGGTGGAAACTTATAGAAGGATCTATGAATTTGTTATTCTTCCTATGAATGGTCAAAGTATGTGGTCGCAACATGAGAATATTCCTCCTTTGCCTCCCAGAGTAGTAAGACAAAGTACTAAAGGGAGAAAACAAAAGAAGAGAAGAAAAGAATCAGATGAAGTGGGCGCGAGTAGGACAAAAGTGAAGAGGAAGCAAAAATATTTAGGATGCAGTAGATGCCACAAGCTTGGACATAACACAAGAACTTGCAAGTATAATTTGTTGCAGACAGAGTCTCAAAATGTGTCTCCGCTATATCATGAATATCTTCATCATGTGCTCCTACAAAACTACCAGTACTTTTTCTTTTATCTATAGCGTATTTCACTTACTTTATTATATTAAATTTGTGTAAAAGCTTCCACTAATTCATTATACTTCACAGGTTAGAAGAGTTGCAGAGAGTCAAGCTAATTTCAACTCAACAAAGTGACGTGCTCTCGTGATTGATGTAGTTTGGCGACATTTGACTTATGGTGCAAATTTACATTTGAGTGATAATTTTATGTGATTAGTTGTTTTTTTTTGTTGTTTTATGTTATTTTCTTTACCTGATCATTGTAGTGTTTTTTGATGTTGTTTTTGTGCAGTTTAGGGTAGCTTGGTGATGTTTTTTGGTGCAGTTTGTCGCAGTTTCTATGCTAGTTTTTGTGCAGGTTGGTGCTGGTTTTTGGTGGTTGGGTGCTGCTGTCTGTGCAGCAGTTTGGTGACGTTTTTGGAGCTGTTTTTGTGCAGTTTGGTGACGTTTTTGGAGCTGTGTTTTGTGCAGGTTGGTGCTGATTTTTGGTGGTTGGTGCTGCTGTTTGTGCAGCAGTTTGGTGACGTTTTTGGAGCTGTATGTGCAGCAGTTTGGTGACGTTTTGGGAGCTGTTTTTGTGCAGTTTGGTGCTGATTTTTTGGTGGTTTGATGCTGCTGTCTAGTGATGTGTTATGTATAGTTTGGTGCTGATTAAGCAGTTTTCTGCTGGTTTTTTGGGTGTTCTAGTGCTGCAATTCGATCAAAGTTTGATAGCTGCTATTTTTTGTTGTAGTTTAAGTTATTTTCTGCACAACAATTGTTGAAAACAAAGCACTATAGTTCAATTTAGTTGCTGATTTTTGAATTTTTTTGCAATTTTATGCAGTTTCATTGATGTAATGACTGATTATTAACGTGAAAATAGAATCGTATTTTTGCTCACAATATTTTCTCAGTTGTGTTCGCTACTTTGCATTTTGCTTTAACTCGCATGAAATAACGACCAACGACTTAATTGCAATAAGACAATAAAGAAAAGAATTGAAAAAAAATTGAGAAAATGGACAAAAGAAATGACAAAAAAGAAAGTTAATGGAGAAGAATTCGAAAAAAGAAAGTGAGGAAACAATGAGATAATGAAGAAAAAGAGGTGGAAAAAAAGAAAGAAGACAGATTGACTTAACAGATGTTAACTAACAGTTTTTTTTTAAAAGTAGATGGAAACCAAATTTGACAAAAGGGTGGATAGTTAAAGGACCATATCTGTCAACTGTATAGTTAAGGGACTATTTTAGACCTACTAAGATAGTTTAGGGACCATTTATGTCATTTGCTCGATTATTTTACGTTAAGTAATATACGACTTAATTATTATTCATGTTTTAGTTATTCCGTTTTATATTTTGCATAGAATTATATACAATCCACAAATTCTTTCCTAATTTATACAAATCAACGTTATATTAATTTTATTTATGAGTAACTTATTTTCTAACCTAATATTACTCATACGCGATTTTAACATAAATATAGGAAATGAGGTTAGCATAATCTGTTCAAACGGTCTCAGATTCTTTAGGCCACATAAAAAAATACTGTCCAACGTGCATTGCAGTACTTGTACGACGTGCTAAAATGTTTGTACTTTCTTCTGGATTTTACCAATTCTTGAATTTAGCTCACTTTGCCAGTCCAACCCCGTAACCCAAAGGGGCAAATCAAATCTTTGCTTTACTTACCTAAGAGTTGCCTGTATTAGAAAGAAATAAAGTGTTGTTTTGTTAATTCTACAAAAAACAAAACCCTACAGCAGAAACTTATTTTATCAGTTCTTGGTCGATAGATGCATCTTCTTGATTAGTCAGGTACTGTTTCATATACCCTTTTCGTTTTCTTGAATTTTAATGATGGGGAATTTCATCTTGTATTGGTTATGGTATCTGAGCTGTGTAGAAATATGTGGGTTGTGTGTGTCTGTTTTTGGTGGCATTTGGTTGTCAAGATTGGTTCAAGGATTGGAGAGGTTTTTAATTTTATGTATAACCTTTTGGGTGTTTGAATTTCATGTTGCATTAGCTATGTTCTCTGAATTGTGCAGAAATTAGTTCTCTGTGTGTGTGTGTGTTTGGTGGCATTTGGTTGTCAAGATTAGTCCAAGGATTGGGGAGTTTTTTTTTTTTGTATATATATATCTATATATAGCCTTTTGGGTCTTTGAATTTCATTTTGCATTGGATATGATCTCAGCACTGTGCAGAAATTAGTTCTGTGTGTGTGGTTGGTGGCATTTGGTTGTCAAGATTAGAACAAGGATTGGGGAGCTTTTTTATATATATAACCTTTTGGGTCTTTGTATTTTTGTGTTTCTTTGTTTTTTGTTTTATTTGATAGGTGGGTCTTGCATTTCTATGGGTAGTTTCATCTAACATTTGTTATGACCTGGTTAAGTGTATGAAAATAAATGGGGTTTTTTGTGTGTACTTGTGTTTTGTTTTCAAGATTGAATCTGTGGGTTTATGTTTCAGTTTTGTTTTCGTGAATTAGAGGTTCTATAGGTTTCTTTTTTTGTTGTATGGTAAGTCGGAGATAGATAGAGTAGGTGGGTGATTGAATTGTGATGTTGAAGGTACCTATGTCTCAACGAGCCATTTGATATCCTAATGACCAATGAGGTGAACAATCTTTTAATAGAGGAAGTTCAAAAGAAAGAGATGGACATACATGTCTATTATCTTATTTGCTGCCTCAAGCTAAGGGCATATCTCAATTTCAATTTGTTAGACTAGGCAGCACATGTTTGTAACAGGATTGCAGATGTCGTACTGTGTGTCTTATATATGCGAGCTTGATTAAAAATGAACAGTGTATTTCATTAGTAGCAATCAAGGAAGCAATCTATGTGAAAATAGTGCTTGTGTAATGTGTGTTTAACGTGTTGCTTGTTAAAACTTCTGAATGCCATACCATTATTCAGTATTTAACTTGCTCCACCTTAGTCTAGAAGCAACTTCTAAGCTATTTTTTCATTAGCAACTTTTAATTATCATCTACCGACTTTTCGAGATCGCTTGCTGTGGTTTTCTATGATTTAGCACACTCTATCTTGTGATGGAAGACTATTAAATAGATAATTGCATAATTGGGTTAGGTTAGTCATCAACTTCGAAAGTAAATGACTCCAAACTTATTGTCCGCTCATGCAAAAAGCTAGAATTTCTTGTCACTTTTTTCTTGCCACTGTTTACCAATTTGCCTCATTAGGGTCTTTGCCTTTTCGTCATCTGAAGTCTAAACTCCAGGAAACTTTGAGAAAGTGTTGGCTATTTCCTTATATCGTTGTCACTCTGAATCTGCTAGTCTTCTAGTCTTCATGTGGATGGCTCTTATAGGCTTACTGCATTTGTCTTATACGTGGAAAGCCTGACTCCGTAATCTCTTTAGCCATTTTGACTTCAGATCTTCTTTCCTATATTGTCTCTGTCGTGTGTGTGTACTGTGTGACTCATACACTGCTGATGTTATCAAGGTTCGAGTTTTACTCCGCCTTAAAGAATAATATATTTAGTTCTGGGCGCTGTTTTGATTATCGTAATCTGAATTAGCTATTTTAAGTGAGAGGATCCAAGTCTGACACTATTGATTATGCTTTATTAGGTGCAATGTTGTCATTGAAACTAGGACTGTTCTGTTTTGTGGTTCAGGGGGAAGGAATATACCATGGAATTTTTGGCCTTCTCTGCTCGTTCAAAACCAATTTTTTTCTCTTTCCTTCAGATTTTCCTCGGATGAATAATTTCCCTTTTTTTCTCAAGCAACTTTATCGTTAATTAGCTGACTATCCCGCCTTAGAGAATTATCGTCATGAACTGAGATTCCTTCCCCGTGTTACTTCTTCCTTCAAAATGTTCAATTAGCAATGGATATCTCAATCCACTGCGAAGAGGTTGGAAATGACCTTACAGTTTTACTCTTCTGCAACACATCGGCCTTCTCCGTAGCTGTTATTTTTTGGATTCTTTGCTTTACCCTTATAAAGGTCTTCGCAACTGCATAGTTTATAGAGAGGAAAAAGGAAACTTGTAAGGCCTCGACAGAGAGTAGCAGATGCAGTTACTGGTTTTAAGTTGTCACCATTTGTTTGAGTGATCTTGTGAAATGTGAACTATTGAGTGATGCTGTAAACTAATATCAATGATCCAAGTGAATGTAACTAATATCCTGAATGAGCAGTGTATTCCAACCATACAGCTTATTTAAATGAGCAAGCATGCAATAGGTTGCTGTAAATGCAATGTCAGCAGATCTGTCTACATGATTTTTTTCTATTTGTACTTTAATTAATTATTTCTTCCCTTATTATACTGTCCTTATGGGTAATCGGTGCTGTACTTCCATTGCTTTTTATTTCAGAATACATTATTTCCTGTGTGATCTTGCTGTCATTGTACCGTTACTGTAATCAGACTCATGAAGGTGTGGCATCAGCACTTGACGTGAAGGTATCTATGCTATCAGAATTGTATGATTGCAGTTAGTTTTCCTTCTGTGAACTAGGAATGTGTTGCTTGTTCTACACTCTGGTACTTATTCTTATGGGAATTTTGTTGCTTGTGCTACACTCTGGTACTTATTCTTCTGGTATCTTTTATGAAAAAAGGGAAATAAAGTACAGATGTGAAACACACTATCAAGGATATGGGAACAAATTAATTATACATGTCCACCTATAGGTATTATAGAGAATCCTCCTTCAAATAACTTACTTTAATTTTGAGAACTTGAATAGCTTACTCTTTATTCCAGGAAAAAAAAACCTCATTCTTCCCTTCAGTCAAAAGCTCCAAATATTTTTGCCATTATATATCTCACTCTTCATAAATAAAGTATTGGCAATATTATAAATAAAATGACTCAGAAAATCTACTCACGTGGAGTTAAACAGATACCATACTATATCTGGACAGCTTAACCTTGCATTTTCTGAATCTTTTTCCCTATCAAATATCTGTTATGGCCTTGTTTGGCTGCAAAGTTTCTTGTAGTTATAATGTTATATTTTTCAATAGCCTATAAGCATGCTGATTTGAGTGCTCAGGTATTTGTGCTTCTCCTGGCATATATTGACGTTATTCCACATTTCCTATATAGGATTACTTTCATGATCTGCAGCCTCTCCATCTACTACTTCAGTGACTATAGAAATGAAGCCAAGAACCAACGGGGGTCAAGGTCCCAGAAGTCCAATGGTGTTCAGAGTGAGGGTCCTAACTGGGTCATAATTGCAGGTAGTGCGTTATTAAGTACATTATCTGTACGCTTAGGCTACAAGCTGAAGCAGGTGCTTGATTCAAGACGGCCGAACAAGACGACCAGCAGTTTGAAAGGTCCTACATTGTTTAAAGCAATTTGGTTTGTCTTGTAAAATTATTTTGCCCTCTTAGATATGAGAAATGACTTAATTGCAGGAAATGAAAAGTCTTCTGATGGAAGTAAGTTAGGGAATGGTTATATGCAGTCAAGCACTTACTATTTTTCCCAAGATGATGATGGCTGCTACAATTGCAACACGGGTATGCAAATTCTTGCCATCCCTTTGGTGTTGTATCTTAGAATTTAGGTTGTTCTTTTTGGTGTAAAGAACGTGGCTAGTGATTTGATGTTGGCATCATCTTCTTCCTGTACTCCTGTCAGTTGTCTAACTCCCAAATTTGCGAGAGGATGATTTGAACTAGTAAAGTTAATCACAGAGGCATGCATCAACAATGTTTACATGTTAGTGTTGATTATTTGGTTGCTTTCTAACATGAAAATTAAACACGGCACTCTTCACAATTTAGACCTATTTACAGTTATCTTACTCGCTTTAAGAAGTTTATGGTAATGTCAAGTGAAAGATTGAAACTGAGCTTATGTGATCAATATGATGATTTTCTTGGTATACACTATGCTGATTTTTCTTCAAAAACAGAAGGTTAATAAATTACCACTGCAGTTAAGTCCAACAGCTAACCTTAAGGAAATAAAGAGTCATGGGAAAAGTTGAGTTCCATTTATGTCTAACCTTTGTGTTCCCATAATGCACATGCTTATTATTTGATCTTATGGTCCAGTTTGTTTGCTGAAATGTATACTACAACATCTTATGGGGTGTCACTGTTTCCTGCCATATTATGGGGCATGATTTGGGGTATCTCTAGTGGCTCATGCAACTTACGTCTAGCCTAGTTGAACGTACAATTTTCTAGGAACTTCTAGGATTTCTTTTTTCTCCCATTAGAACTCTTAAAGAGCCCTCAGGGCTTCAGTCTAGTGGACGCAACACAAGCTGTGTGAATAGGTCCTCTAATTTTTGTAGGTATCATTTGTTGGATTAGTATTATTATGATTGCTATTTTTGACAATTCAGTATTTCTTGTGTTTTTTGAGTTTTGTTTTCATCTAATTATTTTTCTCAAGATTAGTGTGCTTGAAATGGTGTGATTAAATGTACTTCCATCTCTTGTACATCTTACAATAGTCTGTTAACTAGTGTTAGCTATTTTTAGTGAACATTTGCTATTTTTATACGACAGAAGCTGGAGGATTGGGAATTACAAAGCAGCAGTATAATGGGTCTGAGCCTGAAATGGTGCTCCCTCTCGTGGCAGTTCCTGCCATTGGATTCAATAAAGAGAATGGTGGGATTTGGTCAACCTCTCCTGACCGTCTTGAACTGCCACAGAAACCATTTCATCGCTCTAACAGCTCTGAGTCGCCATGTGTCTCTGAATCCGGTTCCGACATATACAGCAAGCGAGAAGTGATACAAAAGCTGAGGCTACAGATAAAGAGAAGGGACGAAACAATATTAGAGATGCAAGAACAGATTGTAGAGTTGCAAGCTTCTCTCAATTCTCAGATGTCGCATTCCGCCCATCAGCAGTCAGTGCTGGATGCTGCAAACAGGGATCTGTTTGATTCAGAGAGAGAGATACAGAGGCTGAGGAAGGCAATTGCAGACCATTGCGTTGGACAAGTGGGTACTTGCGATAAGCCTCCAACAGTACCTGTATGGCCAGCTGAAGTCCGGTATGGTCATACTAACGGTCACCTGGATGTTGACAGAAACTCAGATACTTCAGAGAAGGGAAGAGGAGATGGAGAAAGGTTTGAAATGCTGAAGCGCGAAAAAGATGAGTTGAAAGAAGTGATTGATGGGAAGGATTATCTGATCAAGAGCTACAAGGAGCAAACCACCGAGCTTTCAATCAAGGTCAAGGAACTGCAACAGAGATTGGATGCTCAGCTCCCAAACATTTTGTAGGCGTGCGTTAGAGTTGTGTATTCTTTTTGTTTGCTTCCCATTCCCTTGATTGATTTTAAGTTTCATGATATGGGAATTGCTATTTTCTCAGTTTTATCCCTACCTCCACCTTTCATGTTTTGTGTTCATCATGTCGACGAACCAATTTCCGATATACCTGCGTAGTGTTAGTAGATTGAGTTTGAAGATTGCCTCCTGTGTTGCTGAACATGTAAAAATGGTTCATCATGAAAATTTTCATCTATAACTTTTGCTTAGCAGTTTGATGATATCTGACTTTGTCATCTCCAAAACAAACGTGATCTGGCTCTTAATTGTCCCTGAGCAAGACTTGTTTAAATAACGGAGCAATTTGCGTACACCTTGATTATTTCTTGCTCACTAAGGCTTAGAGCAAATGAGAAGAAACTAGTCTGTGTTGAAATACGGGTCTCATTTTTCTTTTTTATGATTTTTTATGCCCTTGATTAACGGCCAAGCCACACCTTTGTGTGAACGAAGATTATTCTCTATAGATAAGGGTCTGATCAAGGAGGAAGATGAACACCGCTAATAAGTACTCATTCATTCTTAACTCGAGTTTAAAAGTCTCCGATATGGAGTCGTATTTATTAGAAAGTGTTTTACCCCAATATAGAACTTTCTAGTATGAATTCGGATTTTAAATTTTAAAAAGTAAGACGAAGAGACGCAATTCAAGTTGTGTCATTTCGGCACAATCCAAAAGGTACGAATAAATATGGCGCCCATCACAGTCGATTTCCCGCCAAATCTAAAGTTCCCCAATTTTCCCAACAAAATCACCATTTCTCTAAACCCTACTTTCTTCTTCTTCTTCTCTTGCATCTTCCAAAATTAAAAATCAGTAAGGAGAGAGATCAGGAAGCAACAAGAAGAATGAAGGGTGGTACGGTTCAGATCAATTGGCACGACAGCAAGCCTGTTTTGTGCCTTGATTTTCACCACCTCACCGGCGTTATTGCTACTGGTGGCGCCGACTATGACATCAAGGTTAAAATTACTATTTTACCCTTTTAAGCCTTGTGTTTCTGAAGTTGGTTTGTCTTACATGCTTCGATTATGCTAGTGCTGAATTTTGGTTTTAATTATTTTAGTTTGTTACTCGGATAATATCACACTTTATTAATTGATTAATTAATAGTTTGAATTTGGATTTTGTCAATTGGGTATTGCGATTTTAAGTTGGTGTAAGAAAGTTTCAAATTCAAAGGAAATGAAAACACAGTAGAGGGAAATTAAGAGGAAAAGAGAGGAAGTCTGTATTTTTATTCGTTAATTAATAGTTGGAATTTTGTTTTTGTTAATTCGGTAATGCGATTCTAAGATAGTGTAAGAATCTTTGAAGTTCAAAGGAAATGACAACACAGTAAAGGGGGAAATGAAGAAGAAAGGAGGAAAGAGGGAATCAGACAGATGAAAGAATGTGAAGAAATAACAAAAATTCTAGAAGCGGAAAAGAGGAATTTTTCTCCATGATGTCCTCGTTTTCTTTGAGTGAGTGGGAGGAAATGTGTATACCATGATTGCATAGATAGCAACAATGTGGCAGTACGTTTGAATTATTTAAAACAGGGGTTCACATTCCAATTGGATAGTAAAAGACATAGAAAAGGAAAGAGACAAGTAAATTCTCATTCACTTTCTTAGTATGGTCTCAATTGGCCCAAAAAGATAACCAAGGGTTGACACTTCAGACACAGGTTTATAATCATCTTCCTTGCAGGACAATATAAACGTTGGGTATATGCATTTGATTCCATATTCTCAACATGTGATATTCTTATCAATTGAGGATTTGTCATTTCGATGGGTGCCCACATTAGTAGAATTACAGAACTTGGTATGAATTTTAGTGTATTCTTTAATGGACCAGATTTACCATCCAGTTAACCAAGCAACTACTCAGGAGTTTCATGATCCCCTTACCACTGACCCAAAAATCTCAACTTTGTTGAATTAATCCATAATGGCTGAGTAGGAGGATGTTTATGCTTGTGATTTATTTCTCTGCAACCTTGAACTATAAGCCGGGTATCCTTTAGTGATGGTTGCCTAATAGCTAATGCAAACTCTTAAAACCAATCTGGTTCTTCTAACTCAACAGAATAAATCACATCTAATATAGATTTTTGTTAGTGTCTGAAATGTTACCATCTACTTCAACTTCAACCTGAAGTGACTCTTGCTTGACGAGTGTGAATTCTTTTGCTTCAGATTGCAAAGTCATGTGTATGATGAAATTTTAAATTGGACACTTGCATGTTGACATATTAACCACTAGTCTCAAAGTTCGCTGATATTTTTGAAGGACTTTCATATTACTATTTTATGCTTGAGATGAAATATGATAACATCGGGTTCAAAATAAATTCAACAGATGTGGGTGATTAATTCTGAAGAAAATGAAAAGAAAGCGCCTTCAGTTACATACCAGGCTAGCCTTTCTTACCATGGTGGTGCTGTGAATGCTCTTCGGTTCTCCCCTTCAGGTGAAGTTGTTCATCTTGCTTTGTTAAAAAATTCTGGTAGCTATTTCACACTGAAAGCATTAATTTTACAAGGCAAGAATTGGTACATTCTTATATCCTATCGAGTGTTGAAGTTTCATCTGAAGCTGCAGGTTGTTTTGTGCAATTTATGAGTAAAGTTGTTTGACTGACTTGGCTTTCTTCTCTCTGTTTCTGTATACCTCCCTGAAGAAAAATGTAATATTCGTTTTAGAGAGGGGTCAGCATTGGTAATGTTATTGCTGACTTTACTAAGTTGCAAACTTGCAATTAGCTGTGAACTTGGTTAAAAAATTCCTTTTTTTCTTTCAATAATTACCTTGTTTGAAATAGACTTGTAGGCTTTCATGTCCTTTAGTTTCAGTCTTTCAGAGAGCTGATGGCCTGTTAGCCAATTTCTTGAAATAATAATTGCTGTGAGAAGAATTGTTTATCCTGGTGGACTATGTATTGCTTTGAAGATTAATATTGGAAAGTTGGAATGTCAGTTGTAGATATTCTATTAGCTTGAGTGATTCTCTGGGATTGCTATAGGTTATGAAATTCCTGCAGTTTGAATCTTTTTGCTGGATCTGTAGTTTTGAGCACTTGTTAATCTGAGAACTAGAGATACAGAGTGGAGTGGGAACCTCTTTCGTAGTCAGATTTGTTAGATACTGAGTTGCAATGACATTCACGAAATCATCATTACCTTTGACTAAGCAGAGAAGGTTGCTCTTACAGTCTTACTATAAATGAAATAACAGATAACAATGTTTCTCTCAGTGTCTGTAGCATTTGATTCAACATGTCTGAAGCACAACTTGATGGAGAGTCACGGTGATAGTCTTTTGGGGTTTTAACTTGCTTCTAGGTCTATGTCATCTTACAAGCCTCACTTCTCTGGGTTGATCAATACATTGGAAATGTTAATATGTAACTAACTGTGGTTACTTCATTTTTAGCTACCTTTTCATATATCAAAACTTTTATTATAACTGAACTTCCAGTGTATGCCTCCATCTGATTTCTTAAACTGTTTGATAATATACTTGTACCTATCTAGTCAGCCAGCAAACTGAATTATCATTTTTTTTTGTAATATGCAGGAGAGCATTTAGCCTCTGGTGCAGATGGTATAGACTTGTTCCTATAAATCTCTTAATTTAGTCTGGATCAAATAATTTAACAATTTCTACAACTGCTCCTGATGTAGGGGGCGAGCTCATCATTTGGAAGCTACATTCTTCAGATGACAGCAAAACATGGAAAGTCCTAAAGACGTTATCGTAAGCCTTTCATTTGCTCCTATTGCCTTTATGAATTACTAAGCACTCATAAAATAGCTACAGAGTCGCTCTATGGAACATTAGCTACTGTTTTTCTGGTTTTATTCTTATGGAAAGCCAGAGAATTATTAGAACACACTGTTTGGTTCTTGTCCTGCATTTCTGATTGTGATCTTTATCCTTTTTTGCTTGTTAAATAAATTTTTAAATCTGATGTTGGAAGAAAGAAATAGTTATACTTGGTATTTCAGTAGCAGCCTTAATTTAGTGGATGCAGTTGGTGGAAGAGGGTTTTGCTTTCGGGATTATAGGATATTCTAACCAAATGAAACAGTTGAAGTGTGTGATAACACGTAGCGTTGATTATAAAAAAAGCATGTCATGTTGATTATATTCTTTCATCTTTTAATAAAATAAAGTAAATTAACGTAGATTATATTCTAAGTGTCTGTTTGTTTGGATTGTATTTTGGTTTAAGCAGAATGTTGCAATAAACCAGCATATGTATAATTATCCCTAGTTTTGCAGAGAAAAACAGTTTTGTGTTAATAACATTTAGCAAGAATGTTATTGTATATATAGTTAACTTTTGTTAACCTCTACTTCAAATAATAAATAAACACAATATAAATAATCCATAATATTTTAATAACCATATTAAACAAGACTTTTCAAATGTTGATCTATAACTTTGTATTTAAGTCACAAAAGGAGCATAATCATTGTTGTCATGGAATTATTTCTAATTTGATACTAGTACTCATGAGTTCACTTTTCTCAGATTTCACCGGAAGGATGTATTGGACTTGCAGTGGTCTGCTGATGGTTCTTTTTTGATTTCTGGTTCTGTTGATAATTCGTGCATCATATGGGATGTCAACAAAGGTAAAATAAAAGAGGATCTAACTTAAAGAGTTTTTGTCAAGATAAATAAAATTTATACTGACAGTTGGCAAGTTCCTTCATCAGGTTCTGTTCATCAGATTTTGGATGCTCATTTGCACTATGTGCAAGGTGTGGCATGGGATCCATTGTCCAAGTATACTGCCTCACTCAGTTCAGATAGATCTTGCCGGATTTACAGCAATAGACCATCTAAAACAAAAGGAGTTGAGAAGTTGAATTTTGTGTGTCAACATGTCATTATGAAGGTTGAACCACAACTGCCGGATGAGTCCAAGGTCAAATATCATATCAGTTTCTCAATGTCTTCTATTTATAAGTGAATGTTAAATGCATAATAACTTTGGCGCTTCCAAATTCATGCAGTCTATTAAAAATCATCTCTTTCTTGATGAGACACTGCCATCTTTCTTCCGAAGGCTATCTTGGTCTCCTGATGGTTCCTTTCTGCTTGTGCCTGCAGGTACAACCTTAAAACTAAAAGTCCTAATTATGAGTCTCTGCATTTTGATCATTCTTTCTACCCGTGTCCGAATGTTCTCCTGCTCCCTCCTGCACCCCCCCCCCCCCACCCCTCCAAAAGAAAAAGACGAA